TTGTAAGTCCTCCTCGAGCTTAATCTTGGCATTGTTAGAGTCAGTTGCATTGAAAGATAACAAGACTTTAGAATCATCGACATAAGACTCAAGATGGCAAAATTGAGTTGCGTATGTAGAACGGCAGATTGCAGATTTTTTTGGCCACTCTCTGAACCTTTGACGCAATACAACGCCATATTAAAAAAAAAAAAAAGCTAATAGCTTCATTCCAAACGACTTAACTGTCACAACACCGCATCAAAAGTCGTTTAGTTTAATGAGCCACTCATTACTTTCATGTCGTGAATACAAAACAGCATCAATGAATGCACTGCATAGAATGAACTGTTTTGTTGCTGAAGAACAAAAAACTGCTCTCTCTCTCTCTCCTTCCTCTCTCTATAACACTGATAAAAGGACACTCACCACACGATTCTCGTATCCTCTCACTATGATTCCGGCTGGGAGTGAAAACATCAGTAACGCCATCTCTTTTCGCAGACACGACAAGAAGCGACCAGGATTTTGTGCTTGGAATGTGGTATGAAAGTGGATGTGCTCTTCAGGAACATTGTCAAACGTCATGAAAGCTATGAAATGAAAAAGTTCGCCATTTCTTAAAATCATTGCCTAATGGTTTGGTAAGATAGGAATTAATCAGAGACATTTCTAGGGGCGCCTGTTCAAATCAAACGAACCCCGGATACATTTCTTAAATTTTCAAAGTGAATTACCAAGGACTAATATTTAAGTCTCATCTTCCGTAAAAAACGCTCAAAAATACTTTACCAGGATTTGTACTTGACATGATTTCGTTGATTCTGTTGTTCGCCTCCTGTAGGACCTCTCTATCGACATTCTCCTCCTCGCCAGCTGAGGAGCCATGCCTGGGTACGTGATCCATGATGTCAATAGGCCCTTCATCTTCTGTACTCTCCCCACTCGTGGTCTCCCATCCATCATCTGATGCCACTGTAGAACCATCTGATGACAGCTGTCCATCATCCTAAAATATCGGTCAATCATTTAATCAATAGATGTCAGCAAAGCTTCAAAACGTTTCTAAATCATGCTTTAAAACTCCACATGGGTCAAATCTTGCTACACGTAAAGCGAACAGAGCAGAAGCTTCAGCCCGATGGCAAAATGCGTGATGCCACAAAACACGAAAAACTTATACATATAAACGATATACCTGATTAAATACACTTGCATAATAAACACTGCGAATCCACCACGAAAGACAAAAGCTTAAATAGAACGAACTTCACCTCGGTATCAACTTTGTACAGCTCCTGAGGTTTAACTTTGGAAACCGTACTGTCCACCCATCTGATGGACACATTGCCTTCTTCGTCCACACGTGTGACCTGAAGAGAAAGGAGAAGGTAAAGAAACTGCGGTAAAGAGGCTAATCTGAGAAGAAACAGACTGTTACCTGCCGTCGATAGAATTCGTTAAAAATTCACCCTACCTGACCTATGCAAGAAATCGGCGTGTCAGAATTCTGATCGCCAGCCTCGTTTTCAAAGTCATCCCTGGCCATGCGCACCACAACATCTCCCGCGCTGAACACGAAATCCGCATGCTCCGTGATGTCGTACACGCTCACGTCACGTTCCACACTCAGTTGTTCACCATCTCGTGAGAACCACTTGATGAAACACAAGCGTGACTGATGGTCGGCGGTGAGTACCACGCCATACTTTGACGAATCTTCACTCTCTGTGAAGATAACATAGTTGGTAAAATGGCTACTACTTTCAAAAGCGTGGTTTTCTTGCCACTCAAAAATAACAACCGGACATAACCTCTATTTAGAAAAGAAAAGCAAACACAGTAATAGCACAGACTGAATGAATCAGTGAAGTTCCTAAAGAAAGAGCCACACATGCCCAAAAGACCACGTTAAAGTTTCTGAGAATAAGAAACAGAATGAAGGATAAGTTTAAAGACTGCAGAAAATAATAATTCTCTCTCTTTATGGTGGGTGAGTAAGTGAGGTCGGGGCCCTTTAACCGTAAGAGCCAACTAACGATGAAAACTGATCATTAGTTCAGTCAGAGCAATTTTTAATTGAGTGTCGAAAGTAGAGTTGTATACTGGACTAAATACATGGAGGTAATTTGGTTATTTCAAATAAGTTAAAATTGTAGATTGGCCACCGTAAAGATTAAAAAAGCTGACGTTTCGAGCGTTAGCCCTTCGTTAGCACTTCGCCATTCCCTCTGACGAAGGGGTAACACTCGAAACGTCAGCTTTTTAACTCTTTGCGGTGGCCAATTTACAATTTCAACATAGTTGATACAACGAAATTACCTTGTTACCCCCACCGACGCAGCAGCACAGCTTCTTTAGAAACTTACCCCCTAAATACATGAAGTATAACAGATTTACGTAATTCCGAAATCATTCGATTTCTTCAAGAAACGACGCGTATTACATTTATAACTGACCCCTTTTATTAGACACATAATCTCCTGGAAAGAATTCCAACTCGTCTAGGTGAAACACTGGTATTAAATCCGTGGATAACACCTTGTCCTCTTTGGAGCCATCTTGCCAGACAACATCCACTGTGGTACAAGTATTTGACACTTCCACACACACCTTGTCACCGACCTTAACTTGCAAGGGTGGAGCTGCCTTTCGCTTCCTTCTTAGACGCTTCTTCCTTCGCTTGGTCGGATAGCGTGCCCCATGAAACAGACCAGAATCATGTTTAAGAGCACCCATAAGATTTGCACCTTTTACTTTTGGTATAACAACCTCAAGACCGTCCGAATCTTCATCTGCATCTGCATCTGCTTCTGCGGAATCTGAGCCAGCGGTATGAGGCTGATCCTCGTGTGTGTCCACCTGATTAGTCTCACTCTGAGCTGGTCCAGTTTCACCAGCCTGACAAGCACAAGGGTCTTTCTTTATTGAGGATGTTTCTGTGGGCGCAGGAAGATTTGTATCGCATAAGGAAGTTGTCGAAGTTGATGAACTAGAGTTCTTTGATTCACTTTCAGCTGAATAAAAACTCCCTGAACTCCCCCCAGAGCTTAAATTCGCACTGGCACCTGTTGATGTTTTATCTTGAGAATCACTAACAGCATCTTTAGCATCACTTCCCAATTCTGCGTTTCCTCTTTTTGAGGTCTCCTGGTCATGTACACTACACCCTTCTATTTGACTATCGGATGCTGAAATGGTACGCGCATCCTCGTTAAGCTCGTCAAGTGCCTCTGTATTGTCATTGTCACTGGTTTGTTGTTTAGATAAAAAGTTCCCACCACTCGTGGCAAGTCTCAGATCGCGGGCTTTCAAGGTATAGAATGCTTTGTCTCCAATCTGAAGACTGGCATGTCGAAAATGGTTTACAACCAACAGTCTACAAAACAAAATAATGACAAGATCAAGAGCAAAATTAAAAAAAAAAATCACCTAAAAAAATTCATGGTGAAAGCCAACTAGGTGCTTCTAGTTCACAACCACCTCAAAAAAGCAGAGGAAAGGAAAGTAAAGAACGGTAAGTGGTCCATGTTTAATCTTTGGAGAAGAGACAGCACCAGATTCAAAATACGGAAATTAAATGACTTGAGACTTGCCCAATTTTACTCAAAATCAATCAGCTAACATCAGGTAGCAGACAACTTGTACTTGTACAAAGAAACTCAGACTACATGGAAAATCAAATTCTACGTTTGCGTTCCGCGCAATTGACCAGGGCCCGGTTCTTTGAAGGTTGGACAACACTATCCAGTGCATAAACCTTTATCAGGCTAGATAGCACAGTTTGTTTTGCTATCACTTGTCTGCCGGATAAGGATTTATCAGTTGAATAGCATCATCTGCCCTTTATACAACTCGGCCCTGAGTGATAACAAACCTGTGAAGTTGTTCCTGTGTCACTGTGGGATCAGGCGGCTTAAGACAATCATCGCCTTGGCAATTATTTTGGCATGCACCACAGACCTGCCAGTCTACATCACATGCAATAATACTTGCCTAATGTTGAAATAAAATTTAAATTAGATTACACTCCATAACTTGAATTCAGCAGTCTAACTGGAAACAACTTTAATGTGAAATTCAGTTTAAGTGTGAACATGAGATATTTCTGAAAAGTGATTGTGTCCAGTTTGACTGTAAGAAATAATAATGCTTATTTATTTGTTGTTTTTTTGGTTTATTCTTACCATCCTCGCCTCCCTAGTAATTCTTGATGACAAAATAGACATGCTCAACATATTTCAGGTGTTCATGGTTTTCTAAGTTTGATGATATCACTACAAACATCTTTTAAATTATGCAAAGCTCTGATTTCTTCACCTGAAGGAGACAAACAAAGAATAAATTAAAGTTTTGGCTCTGCTGACCTCCTCCACTGTTCCTTTAATCTGTGCTTGATTGTGAATGACTGGCTTCATTCCTGATAACCATTTAGCTTCTTTGAAAGCCCGTGAAGGACCAGCCACCTTCTGGCCTGGATAAAATGATGCAGAATAGAAAGGCGACTCCTAAAAACATAGAACAAGATGCAACGTAATCAGTAAGTATCCAAGGAGAGCTAGAACTGAAAGGGAAGAATAAACCTTTCAAAGAACAAGTACAATGTTTCAAATGGTACAAAGGGTCATATTCCATATTCCATGCTCCACTTATTGCTTTTACCAGTCCACTTATAAGTGACAGCAGTACATGCATTGATGGTATAATAAATTATGTGTACATGTGTAAGTTTTTTAACCCTTTAATTTCCATGAGTAATCGAGACAGAATTTCTCCTGGAAATATCAATGGTTAGCATAGGGTCACTGAAATTGATTTACCTCATCACGTTGATCGCTTGTGTCATAAATCAAGGAAGCCTGCTCTCCTTCCAAACTGCACCTGTGTTTCACACAAAATTTCTGAATTTGTAAATTGAATGGTTTACTCACTACAAGTGGTGTATTGTACAAAAAAACTAAGCAGTTAGAAGAACTCTGTTACTTTTCAAAATTAAACAATCATGTATCACTCTATTGTACACATGTATGTCACTTCTTCTCTTAGTCCATGTAGGTGGACCAAGGAAATATTAATCAGTGTCCTCCCTTATTCTATGCACAACAGGTAAAAGGGATTTGAAGGCCGGTAGAAAAATCCTCTGACCTTTTGAATTTTCAAAAAATGCCAGGCAACTTTAAGAAAAAAATATGACATACCATAGGCATTAAATATTACCAGTTACTACCTAAGAGGTAGAACACTGACTAATACCTGGCATATGTTTTGTACAATTGAAACAAAAGCAGTAATAAAAGTGACATGTTCTAAAGTGGATTTTCATTGTATTAAACATGTGATACAAAATATCACGCAGAGTCCTGAAAACCTAAAAAGGGCACAGATGCTGCTAATGTGTAGGGTCCTTAGACTTCTTAAGCTCCAGCATTTAACAATTATTCGCCGAAGGCGAGGTGAATATCGTCGAATAATCCCCGAGAAGAAGTCGAGGGGATTATTCGACAATATTTACCGAACCTGAGGTGAATAATTGTTTTAGTATAATTTCAAAGCTGAACAACAGAGGAATTTCTAAAATCATAACATTTTAGTAAAATTTATTAACATTTTAGTTTAACATTTTATATAAACCGCACGGAGCGGTTTATATAGCGTCATATAAGGAACCACTCGACCAATCAGATTGCTGGAAACTCTTTGCTCAGCTCCGAAATTATACTAATAAGTAATATAAAATACCGCAAAGCAAGCTCAAATACACCTGGAGCCATTCTTGATTCTTAGTACAACTTTGCGATGAACCTCAGTGACAATTCCAAGCCAAGGGCCCAAGCTGACAGGAACTCCGGGAACGAACTCCTATAAATGAAAAAGTGTTGGGCCTGATATTCATCGCAGTGAGTTTTAAATTAATTTGCACCTGATGGAGCAATCATTATTTTTAAACTGTCTGCACACTCAAGAGTAATGATGTTTGTTTGTTTTTAATTGAAATCCTCAAAGGCTCCTTGTTAAATTTTCCTCCACTCTTATTGGATTGAATGATTTCTTTGGATTTAGTTTTATAGCAGAAAAACTCAACAAATTATTTCTTACTTTTCACATTAATCCAATTTGTAAAAGAAATCAACTGACACTCTTGAGTCTGACAGACCTTTCAGAGTTAACCTTGAGAAGTGAGGTACAGTACAATCATTTAATTGTTCTTACAACTGTCCTTAAAAACAAGAATTGTTCATGAACACTGAGAAGAAGCCTGGGATGACCTGTGAAGACTATCTCTAGCTATTCACTAATCCCTTTACCTGTGGGAAACAGGAATAGATTTGGTGGGGTAAGCCAATTTGCTCGTGCAAAGAACATAACCTATACATGTGTTTTGAGTTTACACATTATATAAATACCTGTAGAGGAGAAAGTTCTTTACAGTCCACATTATGAAAATTCTGGTTAGCCACAAGAACTTTGACACTAGCAATAACTTCCACATTGCTCACAAATCCTTTCTGGGTTCCTTTGTGGGCATCGGAATACTTAACAACATCACCCGGAAGGAGAGACCTGTCTGCTAGTTTGACCTGAAAAACGTTTCAAAGTTTATTGGTCATCATAATAAATGATGCACATTTCAAACTACTCCATGTAACTAGATAACCTGAGAGGGTACATGTACCATTTTGAGACTGGAAATAATCAGAAAGGTTAGAATTCCTTCAAATAGGAAAAAAAAGCAGGAAAACTGCCACTCACACATCCAAAAAAGTGTGTAGTGGCTGACTCAAGTGGGGGTGCAAAAGACATAAAAAAAATTGTAAAAGTAACTGTTTTAGATCCTTGCAATCCGCTGAGAATGAAGTGTGTTACTATGGCTACGCAAAAGCACAACCATTTTCTCAGTGAAGGGTATGAAAAAGGATACCTCTTCAGTTAATGGTACTTGTTTGAACTCAGTGCAGACCTTCCCTCAGTACAAAACTACATTTAGTGAACAATTCCTACCCCCCCAGCACATAACACTAGAAGGAGGTGACTTCAAACTGACTTCCTAAATGTTTTCAATAATAATTCAGACAACAAAAACAAAAGTTGAGAACTGAACTTGAAAGTGTCAGAATCTGAGCTCTCTACTACAAATCAATCTTGCCCTTCCCCACCCACCAAACTGTTTTGTAATGTAGCTACAAAGACTCTAATCATTTTATTTTAATCAATTAACCTAACCATTTAAGAATATTAAAAATAAGACCCTACACAATAATAAGTCTGTAAAAAGGTGAGCAGTATCAAAACCTTTCACATCTACAACTAGAATTTTAACAAAGGATATGAAACTGGCAAACATCTTTCTTATTCTTTACATGTACATCTGTGTGGATTTAAGTTTTGGTTTTCAAAAATGAGGCAAAAAAGTAACAATTTGGAAAGGCCTGGGGACTTTATATAAAGTAGGGTAAAAAATTTGCAACTTAAATTATATTCGTTCAATTACATTACAAGTAAGTCAGAAAAACCTAGTATGTATAACCTAATAGCCCATTTGCGAATTACCCTTGGACTCATTTTCAAAACGAGTCCTCGTGCTCAACCATTCTTGTGAAAATGAATTTAATTTGCATGTGAATGGAAACTTATCATATGAAAGAATTAGCACGAGGACTCGTTTTGAAAATGAGGCCAAGGGTAATTCTCAAATGGGCTATTAAAAGCACTACAATGTAATTTCCATCGTACAGGAAATACCTTTCAAAAAATTTCATCTTCACGAAAAGGAGCTTCACGAAAAGTACGGAGCACATGAAAAGAATATTTTCTGTTTATTAAAACCGAGAAAGTTGTTAATATTTAAGCTCATCCTTTACCACGTTTCAAAACAATATCGCAATACAAAGATCAGATCAGTGCCATCACTTACAATTTAGAAATTATCCCCCTTAAGGCTGGGGTCGTATCGATTGCGATTAGGTCAAAAGGTTTAAACTTAGGTGCTATGAAGTAAAAATTAACGCGGAAAAAAAGCGAAATATGACTCAAGTACGGCCAAAATTCTACTAAAACGTGAAGAACTGAAGTACTAAGAAAAAAATTACCTTGGTAAGCGACAAGGTTTCTTCGTTTCCTGAAGGGTACCAACACACCACGATGTGACCCTTCTTGAGCACTTCTCCTTCGCTGTCCGATTCATCAGATGTTTCCTCTGCATCTTCCAAAACAAGCCCAACAACTCCTTGAGAATTCTTCACAATATCCTCGGCGTAAATGCCGCTTGTTTCGGCCATGGCACTTTCCGAGTGGACAAGTAGCCAAGCCTCTAACTTGGTAACCAGGCTTTAAAAGAAAACCTGTTTTACCGTAAATTGAATGGGTGCGAATGTATTTTAGTTAGTGGCAACACGTACTGGCCATGTATTGGAAGTTTGCAAATTTAACGCAAGTCATAGTAAAACGAGTCAGTATGGTAATTTTATTGTAATCGTATGATCATACAGATGTGCCTCCTTCCCTTGTGATTGGAAACTATCTCGCGTTACTCCTGTGTTCAAGAAAGGCAAACCAAGCGATGTGAACAATTACAGACCGATATCTTTGCTTAGCATTCCTGGGAAAATTCTCGAGGCTGTGGTGTGCAATTCCATGAATGAACATTTGCAGTCCCACAATTTATTAAGTCGCAACCAGTGGGGCTTCAGAAAAAATCGCTCAACTTTGGGTCTCTTGCTTCCTATGACAGAAACTTAGAAGTCAGCTCTGGATCAAGGTTTGGTAGTGGGTGTACTATTTATTGACTTCCGCAAGGCTTTTGACTCAGTTAACCATTCAATCCTGTTGGAGAAACTGAAAGCCACTGGAATATCGGGGTATCTGTTTTCTTGGCTTGCCAATTATTTGTCTAACCGAAATCAGTTTGTCCAGATGTCTGGAAAGAAATCTGCCTTACAACCTGTGAAGTATGAAGTGCCCCAAGGGTCCATCTTGGGGCCTAGATTATTCTCAATATATGTTAATGACTTGCCTGAATCCATATCTTATGGTGACCTCTATATGTTTGCTGATGACACCACAGTTTATACCATTGGTAGGGATACAGACATGATCATCTCTTCACTTTGATGTATTCTATCCCAGCTACACATATGGTGCACAGCCAACAGACTGATTGCACATGAATCAAAGACTGAAGCAATGATAATATCTAGATCCACCTTTATAGGCCCTCTGCCAGCTTTAAGATATGGCACCAAGACCATCGAGCTCAAGTCTTCATCTAGGTGTCTTGGCTTAACTATAGATAATAAGTTAACTTGGCAGGATCATATTAGGAATGTTTGTATTTTATTTAACAAGAAATTGGCTGTTTTGAAGCAAATCAAATTGCTGCCTCAGTCCATCTAGGAATCTATTTATTTCAATTCAATTATTCCTAGTGTTGTATATAATGTTGTTGTTTGGGGCTCTGCTTCCCCATCACTTATGGAGGATATTGAACGTATTCCTATGAGAACAATTAAGATTGTTTGCAAGCTACCTATGACCACCCCAGCTGATGAGATCAAGAAATTGAGGCAATGGAATCCCATTTCTTTGTATAATGTTAAAAGACTGCTGGTTCTGACCTATCAATCCTATCATAGCTTAAATACCGAGGGTCTAAATATTTTAATTTCTTGGGCAAAAACGAATTACAGCTTAAGAAATTCTCTAAATTTAGAAGGGCCAAGACCAAGATCTGAAATTGGCAGGTCTTCTTTTAAACACAGGGCCACCTTGGTATGGAATCTTCTTCCCCATCATGTCAAGGAATGTGCTAACTTAAGATTGTTTAAGATTAAGCTTAAGGCTAACAAGCATCTTCTCAATAGCATAAATTTTGCCAAAGGTTCCTGCTGTGTTTCAATGAAACACTATGACTTTCTGTATTTTTAATTGTAAATTTAATATTGATTTGTATTTAACTTATTTAATTAGAATTGTATTTAAGAAGCAATTTCACTCAGTTTTTCCAATTTTTATTATATATTTTATTGTGATTGTATTTAATTTGTAGTTAGGCAGGTCCACATCATGACTTCGGTGTTGCCGATCCTTCTAACCTGCATTGTTAAATAAAGATGTATGTATGTATGTATGTATGTATGTATGTATGTCTTTATATTATAGCATAACAAACTTTTTTCTCCAAGCCTCACAAAGATAATACAAGTTAGAACCCACCATTAATTTTCGCGCGACTCTATTGGCTACTTAACGTCACGAGGTACAAAATCACCGGAAACTTATTACGCAATAACCCATGTTTACATCGATATTTGTCCTCTGATTATTTCCGTCGAAAAGAATTAAGCAAAGCCAACTGAAGAGTTTCATTTTTTCATCTCTTAATTAACATGAAAAAAAAGAAAAAAGAACCAGTATAGTAGCGTTCAGTGGTAGTGTCATGAAAACGCTTAACTCAGATGCTGTTCCGAAAAGTACAAAAGAGTCAACAACATTTGCTGTCAACACGCGATACAAAAAATTGATGGAAGGATTATAAAATAAATAAACCCCCCCTCCTGGCTCGCTGGTATGTCCCGCTGATACTGTAAAGTCCTTGGCTGACAGATTGCCCTCAAAATTTCCACATCTTCCCTCGTCGCTTTGCTTTTCGGCCGAATATTCATTTCTCGGATAACATCTTAGTCGCAGACATTAGCAACCGGCACACCAGCCGCCTGAAAGAGGTTTACTTACTAAATACGCAAGAAAAAAAACAGGAAAGTGTAAGACTGCTTTTTAAGTACACCTGAAGAAAATGTACTGTTTGATATCACTTAAACATAGTAAGAGTTTGAAAGGATAATGAATTACTGTGCTGCGTTTTTTTACAAGTATTAATAAAAACACATAATGAAACTGGAAATATTGGGCTTGCCATTCCTCACGTTTCCCTTAAATACTATGGAAACTTAAAAAAAAGCATGTACAAATTTTACTTAATGTCAGAAACATTGAGATGTAAATAATGACTCGATGCATGTTTAACGAGGATGCCTTGAGCTGAGCTTAATGGTAAGTGGGCCCGAAAGCTTTGACTTAAAGATTAATGATTTATGTAAAAAAGAATGATAGCTAAATTTTATGTTGACCTGCGTCATTTGCCAGTGCATTGAAAACAAAGAGAAATCCTAATAAGAAAGGTCATGGAATTAGTTTCAAGGATGTTTCTGTCGTATTTATTTGTCTTTCATACCATTGTCTTTTGATCACTCAGGCACTCAAGTAATAAAAGCAATGATCCCGCATTTGACTGAGAGAAAAAAAACTTAGAACATCTGTGGGGATTTGGACTTAATAGATGCAAAGGCTAGCCACAGCATTAGGAAGTTGTTGGATCCGCAACCTTAACCTGTATTTCGTGATCTCAGCCAGAGAGAACCGCAATTTATTAACCAAGTAACATGTAATTGCGCCGATTTGATAGATTGCCTGAATCGCAGTGTTAGAGTATAAAAGGGATCTGAACTCTCGGACACGTTTAACCCAAGAACGAAAAGGAAGTTATAAGAACACTCGTCTTCAGTCGCAGAAGTTTGAACCTAGGACCTGCAGGCCATAATACGTGATAGAAAACGGTAAGCTTTTTCTGTTCGCCGTTTTCGTCGTTGCTCCAGGGTTTTGTCCAGTTTATTCGATTTTTGTTCATCCACAAAAACCAACACGCAGCTTTCAAACTCGCAAACCCTGAGCCCTTGAAACGAGTTCTTAAGCTCTTTGGCTATTCGTGAGTAAGTACATTACCATTTAACATATTTTTTCTTTTTTCTTTTTTTTCATGAAAATCCAATTTCACTGTGGTATACCTCCTTACCTAAGCCTAACAGATAACCTTGGCACAATTAGCTAGGTAGTAACTGAATTTAGCGGATGAAAATGTTTCAAACACTACTTTTTGGAAAGTTTCACATGACTTTTGCGACAACTGACAGCAAACGTAAAAAAACTGAAATTCTTGACTGCTACTTCAATCGTTTGCATTCCAAAGCGAGGACATCGCAGAAGCTATAAACAATACATTTCTGTTTTTCACTTCTTACGGGATTAGATAATTGAGAAAGTGAGCAAAATCAGAGCTACTATCACTTCGATTCCATTGTCGTAAAAAAATCGTGATTAAACCTGAGTCAGTACAGCTGTTTTAAACAATGAGAGAAAACCAAGAGACTTGTTCACTGATCTTAGTTTGACCTAAAAAATTAATGCCCTTCTCCGCTTAATTCAGAAAAGTTTTGATTGTGAATGAGAAAGATCTTTCTGCTGAAGCTATCATAAGTAAAATAATTTTAAAAAATAAAAGAAAAAGAATAAAAATCCTAACAACAGAACATCTGTTAAAAAAAAAAAGGTGTATAGGCAAGCACAGTATATAACGTACAGAGATGACAACTTTCGTGCACAAGAGCCCTAATACATAACACATAAGTCTTTATTAAGATGGGTCATGCCATGCCCTGAGGTCATTAGCTAAGTTTGGCCAAATTAATCTTAAAAGTAAGACACTCAAAGACGCCATGTTATGTACTGTTTAAACTTCGCTCTTTTTTAGACAATGATGGACACTTCATTATTACTTTTCTCGCGTTTTCTGTCCTCTCAACCGAAAAATGACCAATTTGAAAAAATGCACGGGCCATATCATCAAGAGAGAAGAAAAGACTAATTGTAAACTGTGATGATAACAGTCGTTCGCGGGCAACAAAGATTTTGACGAAAGAATCTGATCCCGAACTCCATTAAAGTTTTTTTTTTTAGCGTTTTCGTTTTCAAGGAAATTAATCCATGAACAGATTCCTGGTTTACACTTGTTCCTCGCCTCACGTTTCAGCATGAAGACTTGTAGTTCGTTCGGATGGAGTCCACAACAGTAAGAAAGATCACTGCAGGCACACGTAAGTTCAGTATTACCGTACATCTTTAGTATCCATGGCAAATCCGAGTTCAATTGCTCATGGCCAACTGTTACATCAAATTTATGCCAAATGGCTATGAATTTCAAATGACTTGGGCACTTAATTAATCAGGCCGTTTGTTGTAATGGCCTCAAACGATAACTTAGAAGCACGGAGGAGAAAATTAAGATAGAACTCCTCACGTAAAATTTCAGTGCGACTCACTGTACTGGTAGGTACAGCTGCCGAATATAATCAGGTACGTGTTTTAACTTGAATAACGCTACAGTTAGAATATTTCAATGAAACTCACGGATAATGTTCGACTCCGAAAAGAAAATCGTTCCTATTTCATCGT